GGGGGGGGGGGGGGGGCGACACGCGTGTGCCCGTTCGGCCGCCGGCCGCCCCAAGTGCCGGGGTGCTCTTCGCGCGTGCGCACGCAATACTCCCGGGCGCGCGTGCCCGCCGGCCGGAGTCAGCCGAGCGCGAGAGGCCGCCGCGGAGGGGCCCCGGTCGGGGGTGTCGCGTGTTGTTTAGGCCCGGGCCGCTGCCCGGCCGCCCGGCCGCCCACTTCCCCCGGCGGGCCCACACTCCCCCGCGCCAAGACCTGCGCGGGTCTTTCCCAGGCGTGCCCTTTCCCGGGAGGGTGTTTGTTTATTTTCTTCCGCCCCTCCTTCCGGCCGCCCGGCGCCGAGGACTTCTTCATCCTTTTCCCTCGGCCGGGCCTCCTTCATTGTGGCCCCGGCGGGCGGCCGGTCGCCGGCGCCGGGACTGACTGTGCATCTAGCCGGGAGTCCCCGACCAGCCTGGCGACGCTCCCAACGTCCCTTTTACCACGGTCCGGCCGCGGTCGGACCAACCTGCGCTCGGCAAACAGGCGCGCCGCCCTGGCGCGGCGGCCCCCGTCCCCGCTCTCCCACCTCCGATGTATGTCGCTGCCCCCTGGGGCGGGGGGAGCGCGAGCCGAGCCGCCCTTGAGACGGCGGAAATATTAGCCCCCCTCCGTGAGTGATGCCGGCGGCCGCAGCGGCCAAGCCCCGCGACCCTGCCGGCGGCGGCGGCGGCGGCGGCGGCGGCGGCGGCGGCGGCGGAGGGGCGGGGGGGCCAGCCGTCGGCCTGGTGGGTCCGTCGCTTGGCCATTGTGACTGCTTCCGGCCCCCGGCCCCCGGCCCCCCCCCCCCCCCTCCGCTCCCCGGGGGCGAGGCCCAACATGCAACGGCGCCCCGGCACATTCCTCTCGCACCACGCTCCGGGGCGTGAAATCACCTCCGTCCGGCCCGGACGAGAGGATGGGCCCGCGGCCCCGGTGTTGGTGCGGCCGGGCGAGCAAACGCGCGGCCAGGCCCTCCCCCCCCCCCCCGCCCCCGGTGGAAACATCGCCCGGCACCCGGCCTTCCGGGCGGCGGGCAACCACAAAGTCGGTTGCCCGCCGCCGGCCGGGACAGGGGTGGGAGCCGGGCGCATTGCTCCCCCCATCATGGGGCCCGGCGAGGGCGGGCGGGCGGGCGGGCGGACAGACGGGCGGGCGGGCGGGGGGGGGGGGGGGGGGGCCGTACGCGCCCGGGAGGCCCCCGTGTCCATCTGGGCAGGTAGGCTCCACGGTCGTCCGGTCATCGAAAACGGCCGTGTCTAGGGGCACGTTGGCTGATCTGGCGTTCCGGGGCTCCCAAGTACGAAGCGTAGGCGGGGCCCGATCGCGCGCGCTTCCGCAAGGCCGGGCAGGGGGCGGCCGCCTCCGGCGCCCGGGCCTGGCTGCACAGGCACATCACACACTACACCAAAACTCCGGAGGCTCACGCTTTTTCGCTCGCTCTCTCGGTCACAAGGTGTTTCTTTCACATGAGCCCCCCGCGACCGGCCTCGGAGCATGGTTTCCGGCGCTCATCCGCCGGGCGCACGGCAGTCTGTGATGGCCCGACCCGCTGGGGCCCCGGGCCGCGTGCGCCCGCGCGCAATCGCGTCCCCCCGCCCCCGGTCATCTTGACTCCACAATTTCCCCGCCCCCCCGGAAGCGCGAGGCTTCTCGAGCGCGCGAGCAGGCTCTCGCGAGCGCCCATCACACACACTTCCTGGCCCCGCCCTGGGATAGGCACCCTGACTTGGGCACTCCCCTTTTTTGAGGAGGACTCCAGAGACATTGCGGGGGTCCGAAACAGCACCCCCCCCCCCCCCCCGAAAAGGCTGGGGGTAAGGAAATAGACAGAGAGAGGGAGAGAGGGAGAGAGAGGGGGGGGGGGGGGGGGCCCCCCCACGGCGTATTCCTGGGGCCCCGCCGCGGGGCCTGGGCCTACCCAACGACCGCAATACGCCTCCCCTGATTCTCGCTCTCCCCCGCCCCCCTCTCTCTCTCTTTTCCCCTGCCCCTCCCCCGCGCCCGCCGTCCCTCTTCCTTTCACTTGAGCTCTCTTCCCCGGTGCTGCGTGCGTTCTTCCGTGCGCGCGCGCGCGCCCCATCCCCCACCCCACCCTCCCCCGCACAACTCTGATAATCATTAGCAAGTCGGTGCTCCTACCTCCCCTCACTGGACAGGGTCCGTCGAAGGAAGCACCCGCCCACGCCCCACCCCACCCCCCCCCCCCCACCCCCCCAGAGCGAGACACAGGGTAGGCAACTGCGGCGCCGGTGATTGCGTGCACGCCTCCGCCACCCGCCTGCGACCGGGACCCCTGTTCAGGACGTGCGTTCACGGATCTCCTCCCACTTTGGCCGGCTCCACCCTGCCCCCCCCCCCTTCCAGGTGCGCCCCCCTTTGCCCGAATCCGGCTTTGTGAGGCATCTCCCCGCACCAGCTCCTCCGCGCGGCGGAGCATTTCGAGAGTCACACACACACACACACACTCTTGGCCGGCCGACCGACCGACCGACCGGCCGGCCGGCCCCCTACCCCGGGCTCAGCTGTCGTTTAGTTCCGATGCACGGGTGCATGGGCGGCGCGTGTGGGGCGCATGTGCTGTCTGCCTGCCTGTGCACGGGCCGGCGGCCGCGCGTGCACGGCCGAAGGTGAGGGCCGTCGGTGAGCAGGGTCCGAGCGGGGCAGGCGGGGTGGCCCTGGACCAGGGGGAGGGGGGGAGGACGGGCCGGGTTGGGGCAAGGGCGGCTGGCCGCGGCGTGTGTCTGGTCGCGGATTCGGGCAACCCGGCCGCGAGTCCAGCCCCGTGCCGCATCTCGCCGGCAGGGCGAGCGAGATGGGAGTCCGTCACATGCCGGCCGGGTCCAAGTCGCTCGGCCCCCTCGGCCTGCCCTGCTGAGCTACGCACGCCCGGGCCGCGTGCCTGACCGTTTCTTCTGGCCGATAATTTCCCAGAGCGCGTGCCTCAGTCCCCCCCCCCCC